TTTCCCTTCCCTTCCTTTCCTTTCCTACAATTCCTATATCACGCACAACTTGAATGATCTCGCGCCGACGAAAACCAAGTACGCGCGCTCCGTGTACGTGGGTGAGTGTGCGCGTAGTGTATGCGCACCGCCCGCTCAAAGTATCACGCGGAAAATCAATAGCGCTTTCATGTATGTGTGAATGAGTGAGAGCGCGCGCGCGTTTGTATGTGTGCGTGCGTGCGTGCGTGCGTACGTGTGTGAGACGGCAATGACGTGAAAGTCCAGCCTGATATGGGTGCGAAAATTAGATCTATCCAGACAAACTTGCGTAGCTGCAAACCTATATACATAGAGAAAATTATCCGATCGCATTTCTATTACAAGGTCGCGTATAAAATGCAATTGAATAATTCTCTTTACGTATACATTTATGCAGCTATGCAAGTTTGCCTGAATAAGTCTTTATGGATCATGGAGAACGGTTGAAATTTCAATAATTTGAATTTTGGCAAAATTAATATGTTGTTACGATGGTCTCCATTCTACATGTGGGATTATGAGTCGCTCAATTAAAAAAATTTTCTAGTCTTTTCACATAATATGAAAACATTATTCTTAATTTAGAGTTTAGTTTATGATTAATATGTAGACATTCCTAATTTTTTTCGAATTTTTTTGGACCATATAATCTCTCTCTCTTCTTTAAATAATTTTCTAAACTAACTGAAGTCTTATGAGGATTTTGAGTAATTTAATCGTAAACAAAATTAATAAAGAGGGATGGAGAATGGGGGTGAAATTTTATTTTTTTAATTTGAGAATGTTTAAAGAACATTTTGAAATAAAGAAATAAAATTTTATTGCTTTACATTATTTATTATTTAAAAAATAACAATGACCAAACTTGTACGGTAAAATACATGAAAAGTCATGTGAATCTCTTTTTTTAAGTTAGAGAATTTCCTTAAGGCTTTTGAATAGTCGCGGCGGCCGTGTTGGAATTGTGACGTCAGAAGTGAGAAATACACGTTAATTTATGTTGCATGTTATTTATAAATAAAGACAATTTGGATGAAACGAAATGACGAGATCGCTTTAAAACACTTGTAAAAATCGATGAAAACTGTTCTTTCCTTCCTTGACAGTAAATGGTCGTAAAAGACACGTAAAGCGAGCCTATATTCGGGCAGAAACAGACACAATCTGATAGCTGTTGAAACGAGTAAAATATATACATATAAAATTCCAAGATAACTTTAGTTTTCATCGTTATAATTACGATTTTTATAAATCACATTTTCACAATTAAGCAAATAATAACGAAATGGCATGCAACATAAATTTCGTCACTTTTCCACGCCTATAAATTCAGCCATTTATTGTGGCGAGGCGCTGTAAACACACACACACAAGCACGAGCCATGTATATGTACTCACTTTCGATGCGCCGAGAACACATGTATATGGGCTCGTGCTTGTGTGGGGGGCTACAGATTCGCCAGACCGCTGTCTGATTTTGTGTCGCTCAGAAGTACTCAGGAGCCTTAAGAATATATTAGGTACATCTCTGGAAAAAAATAATAAATTGGTAATTTATATCTTCCATAAATGTTCCAAATAAATGTTATATAGATGAATTTGAAACAGTTCAATAAAGTCACACACACAATATTTAATATTTTTTTAACAATACTTATAATTTCATAGTTTAAATAATATATTTTCTCATTTTATCTTAATTATTTTTTTTAATGTACCGTGTGTCTATTTATTAAAATAATTTTTAATCTAGGCTTTAAATCATCGCCAAACTTTCTTTGTTACCTTCAAATACAATCTTAATTTTTTACATAATTTTTTAATTTTATTAAAACATGTAAATATCATATAAATTAGAACAAAACCATTATATGTATAAATAAATCGACAAAGTAAGATAAGCACCAAAGAACTGTGATCAAAGTTAGATGTTGGAATAATATTTCTACATGTATTTTACATATACATTTATTTCAGATATATGATTGCGCGCCGAGAGATTACTTTTGGATTACTTGCAACACATTCAACTGAAATAATATTTTCATAAATTAAATTGATTGTCGATTTGATGTTACTATCAGGATCTTAAACCTGTCAACATACACTTATACGAGCAAACATCCTTAAAGAAAATAATTCGCATGTTGTACAAAGAAGACTCATTCTAAAATGTATAGTGACTGTACAAAAATACATATCTTTTTGTTTGCAAATAATACTTTAAGAATTTATTCACATTTATTAAATTCACTTTTGTTTATTACGTAAATACAATTTATACAAGAGTAATAATAAACATCTAATAATAGGTAATTCTTGAGAGTTTTTATGTACAAATACTTACAGATATACATTTGCGTGTTTTTAAATTCTCACTTTGTTTCTTTCATCAGTGGATTTTTTATCACAGGACCAGTCCCTTCGCAATGAATGCTATCGTAGGTCCATTTGCGATTATTCCTAATAAAGTCACAACTCGAATAATTATTTTACAATAAAACAGGTTAGACGTTTCGCTAGATACCGAAAATTTCGTAAAATTACCTGCAGTCGTGGGCACATTTTGGAGAAGAACACTTGGAACACGGAAAATGGCATCCTGGACAATCCAAGCTCAAGCAGTCGCAGAGATCATCCGATGTCCGTATAAAAATGCCTTCATCGTTGTATAGATGCTTCCTGTAGCTTTGATATAATCGACGATACAACTTGCGCTTTTCTCGTTCGCTGTGCTCTGGATCGAAGTTTCTCAAAAATTTTTTGCTCAAATTATCCACGGCTTTCTGTCTTGAGCCTCGAGTACTCTTCTGTGAACAGAGCACGAATACGATTAATCATCTTTCTTTTCCTCAGTGATTAACCAATTGTTGAGTAATCGATATGCAAAAGTAGCTATATACAAAAATATAAAAAAAATTATGTATTGTATTTGGTATCTCTGGATTCCTCAGTTCCTCTTGATTACAAATTCAACTCTTTAAAAATGTGCTGAAATAGTTAAATCCCATACAATTAAAAGAGAAAGACGGGATCTAATTGGAAAAAAAGTTAAATCTCTATTGTTGCAGTTATATCCATTAGTTATATTTAATAAAAATGGCAGACATTTTATTCCAAAAGCTAAAGTTCTTTCTACAAGCAAGTACATTATATTTTAATAAATATAAATTGTATTTTTTTCTTCATTTCATTCCACACATTTTACTAAACAATGCATTATAAAACAATGAATTTTTCATAATTTTCAGAAAAAAAAAGATTTTATTGATAGCATGAATAAAAAAAATTATACGCAAGTTTCTTCGCTCCCACCAAAAAAATTTCAAGTGGAGATATACATATAATAACTTTTGTCAATTCTATATGAACATGGCCTACTCAATTCTATGTGAACAATTAATCCTTCGTTGCTTATTAAATGCTATTTATACATTATTCATACATTTCATATAAATTTCACAATTAAAAAAAAATCTATTGATACTTTATTGATATTTTTGAGCTTTCAGATATTTTCTTCAAACAAGTCACATAACTTGCGCGTTATTTCTATGTCTTAATACATTGTTAAATGCCAATGTTTACTTAATCAGGATAAGAAACATTCTAATATTCTAATCTGTTACAGTAAGATTAAAATTAACTGCAATGTTCATTCAACAAAATGTTGGCATTCTTCTTTGAAAAAATTTGCATTTATTTTTTTCTACATTGGCTACGTTCAGCAGAAGTTAGCGTTACATTAGCGCATCAGGCTATACTTTCAACCGTTTGAAAATTTTATTGAACGCTCTTAAAATTACAGTAAGCATAGTATGCTACAAAATTAAATTACAAATAAAATAATAGCTTCTTAAATTAATTCTGATAAATATAGAAAATATCACAAATATTTATTAGGACATTAATCTACAAGATGTAAGAATTTTTTTTATAATAATTAATAAATGGAACGTTTCGACTTTACTTGTCATTCTCAGCCATTACAATAATAAGAGTAGTTGTATAAAATTAAAAAGATATTAACCAATTATTTTATACATTATGTATATATATATATATATATATAATAAAATTAACTATTGGAAAAAACATAGAAAAATAGTCAACAAAATCCTATCAAAGATTGGACAATATACTATAATAAATAAAATATTAAACATTAATCTTCTTTACGTAAAAGTTGTCAAAACTTTCTTTGTTCAAAGGTGAGAAAAAGTGAAATCAAACGGTTAAGATTTTCTTTAAAGTCGTAAGATAAATAAATGGTCAAGAAGAATCTCATAGTTAAAAGTTTTAAGGTATATTTAATTTTTAAGATATGAATTCTGTAGATAGAATCTGTAGAGAGATATATCCAAAACAGTAAGAAGGCTTCTTGTCAAAACAAATGCATGTCAATAAATGATTATCACATATATTTTTATTCATTATATTTACTTTTTCGACAATTATTTTCAAATTATAATCAAAATATTGTTCTAATCTATTTTGACAACATAACTCAAACGGTTAAATAGCAAATGCAGCTTTTTAAATTTTTTTATAAATGCTTATGAATTTGCAACATATTTGTTATGCATTTAGCATTTTTTCTAGCAAACTGAAAATATCATATAACATTAGTTTTTCCATTATTACAATGTCAACTATATAAAGATAAAAGTATAGTAATTATATTATAATTTATATTGCTCTAATATATATTTAGTGAATTTACACTGAACGACAATTTTTAATATTGGAAAGAATTATGATTGGTTATTGTTAGCAACATGTTTGAAAATAATAAATCACTGGCAACAAACAAAATGCGCATTCAACAAAAAATTTTACAACAGTTACAGAGCTACTTTTTATGCTGAACATAGCAATTGTAAGCATCATTTTATCTTCCTTCTAAGTAATGAATGATAAAAGTAGAGAATGAAGCTCACAGCTCATAAGCGCCAAAACCAAATGCAGCTTACACAGTCTGTCCTTTTCAGCTGAATCTTGCACGATTCATCATTTTTTTCTTTCTTCGAAATGAAGATAAAAGAAGGAAAGATAACGGAAGAAGTTCAGCTAAAAAGAATAGATCTATCAGGTTGGAACATCAGAAATATCTCACATAAGAGTAATTGTAAAACAAACCACGCGAATAATATGAGATTAAATGAAACGCTCACTCTTTCGCCACGTGTAGGTGTTGGATTGCTCGATGAACTTTCGCCGGAACTCTCCATTCTTTGATTGTCGATTGATCGCATGAGAATGCAAAAGCTTTTATGGAGAATTAAAAAGTATTTGTCCTTAAATCCCTATTTGTGATAAATAATTCTGGAGAGGTTTTTGCTAAAAAAATAAAAAGAATCTTGAACTTGTCCAAGTTAATACAACTGAATTTTATACTTTGACATTCGTAAAATAATTTGATAGTTAATGAAGGAGAGCTTACAAAAATCATTGAAATTAAACTTACTCGACGTTTTTGTATAAAACAAAAGAACCTGATAGAAAAAAATGTTGCTCTGCTTCTGAATCGAGATAGTAATCGTTAATGACAACGAATATTCAGGTTAGGAAATATGTCACAATACGATCAAAATAGGTTCGGTTACTGACAGCAGAGAGGTTTCTAGTGCCGGTTACTACCAGTTAGGGTGAAATCACATGATGCGGAAAAGGACTGCGAAATAGAGAATGCGTCATAGAAGCAACCAATTAGCGCTATTCAGTGTCACGTCCACGGTACATATAAAACTTGTCCAGAAATATCCCCAGGCGAATCACAACTTTCTTTATCTTAATAAACCGACAGGGCACAAAAACCGCCTAGACCGCTCCTGACGCCTTCCCCACCACTAGCGCCCCACCAGCGTGGGAGGGGATCCTTCGGAAAAGCCCTCGGGATAACCGAGTAGTAGTTAAGTTAAGATTAAGTCCTCAACTGGGTTCCCCTTTTTTACTCTCTCGTGACAAAAGTTCGGACCGACACCATCTCTAACTCAAATTCCTAATTCGAACTTGAATCTATATCCAATCTTCCATTTCTATTCGTATAAGCAACTTCATCTAATTATATAAGTAAAACTCTATTCGACCTTGTCAATTTTAATCACGTTAGATACTAACCGCAGTATAAATTTAGTCATGTATTTAGTGCAACTTAATAACAGTAAAATATATAAGTTGTTTTCTGAGCAAAGATAAATACGCGAGTGTGACCTTTTTCTCAACGAAACCTTCCCTACGTAATCGGCATACATCACATGAAATTGCTCCTCACTTAAACTCACCAAGTGGACGCGCGAGTGAACGGCAGCCAGCATTGGACCAATCCCTCTCACCCACGACGGACTCGACCAACCAAGATCCCAACCAGCCCGCACGTAGCGTACCACGGATCGTAACACCGCGGAGCCGCTGAAAAGATCCGCAAACAATCATCGTATGGTAAGTACAGTTTGCATCCACTATTAGTCCTAGGTTTGTCCAGGTATTGATTACCGCCGGTCGGACCTCAGGACGTAACATCAGAATAACGCCGAATAACGCTGATTGGTTGCTTCTATGCATTCTCTATTCCGTAGTAATCATTTTCCGCACCGTGTGATTTCACCTTAAGATGTAAACCACTGAACTATATATACATTGGAATGGGTATCTCCACTGTGAAGTATAGAAAATTATGGCACCAATTGATCAGCGCCATTTTAATTTGATCAATATAAGAGCGAATCAGAAGCTTTCAGATGCTCATGCGCACTTATGTTTAGTGTTCTTTAGTAAAACGCATATCGGTCATTCTACGTCAAATCGGGCATAAAAAAATCAACATTTAAAATTTTTTTGAAAATTTTCATATACCTTCTACATATAAAAAAAATGAGACACGTGTTTTGGAGAAAAATTTTTTAAATGTTTTTACGAAGTTATGCTTACCTTTAAGTTTCAAGAATTGATGAAAAACGTGGCTCGTGTGTATAGTATATTCAAATGATTGTACCGCCGAAACAGTAAGTCGAACGAAAAAAAGAGATCAGTTTTAAAGATTATAAATTGTTCTATTTTTTGGTAATTTTTAAATACACATTTGTTTTGAATAAATATTTTTTTTTATTGTTTATAATTTTTAAATGTATTTTTTGTCATAAACTCACCAACTTACCATTTTAAAATTTTCAGGATTATTTCACAATTGAAGAGCGAATATGAATTTTTATCAGAAACTATAAGTTGGTGAACAAAATTGATGACAAAAAATGCATTTAAAAATTATAAACAATAAAAAAAATATTTAAAAAATAATATAAAATATATTTTATAAATAATTTTTTAAATAATTTAAAATATATTAATAATATAAAATATTTTTCGCAAGTTTAGCAGTTTTTTAGCAGTTTATTACAAAAATTTTAAAAGAATCGAAATCTTCGATTTTTTTTATCAAAAAGTGCCCGGTTTGACGTGGAATGATCGATATGTCAGTAAGATCATCGTGTGTGTGTGGAGTTGTATTTGAAAGATTACCTTGAAAGATTATAAAATCGCGTGACTGTAAAATGTGCAAAGCATCAACCTGAAGTGCTGTGTGCCTGTGTGTGGGCGGAGAAGTAAAAAGGGCATTTTTTTTCATAGATAAGATTTTTTTGTATTAAATGTATCAATTTCTGCCCATTAATTTCTGTTAATGATATAGGACATGCAAAGTATTATTAATGTTATTTTATTAAATGTACTAAGAAAATTGAAGTGACATTATTTTTGTTTACATACCATTCATGTCCATATAGATTTCATACATCGATAGTACATCGATCGATACATCGATGTACTATCGCAGCGCGCCCGCGAACGCTTCTGATTCGCTCAAATATCATCCCAACTAAAATGGCGGCTAATCATTTGCGGCCACGAATTTTCCTCGATCCCCATTCAGTGTGAACTTAAACCAATCAGGATACTGCTTTAGATTACATTATCTAACGGAAATGAAAATAACAGTAAACTTATCCATAATCCAGCAATGCCATAACCTCGCAATAAGGTGAGTTTCAACCGGTTGAAACTGGATAAGTTTACTGCTATTTCCCTTAGAGTACGTAGATCTAAAAATAATGATTGGCTGATCGGTTTAAGTTCACGTCTTAAGGTTACTGTTACAGAAATTTTGTCTGTGGCAGCCAGGACAGCTCTGTGAAGCAGCTCGTGAAAATTTACCCGCATTCAACTATTGAATCCGCTGAGTGAACGCAGCCATTGGACGCGTTCAAGTTGACAAAGCGACTAGTCTGCTCGTCGAGCAAATTAACATAATTGGTTATTAGATCCAACCAATAATATACAATCGCTCGGTAAGCATGCCTATTGTGTTTCCGGCTTAAAAATTGGATTTTGACATTTCATAATGTTGCCTTATTAAAATTACGTTTCAGCTATGTTACAGTCGAGAATCGAGTGAACTTGACGAAAGTCAGAGTTTAAAAAAAAGGTAATAGCGAGGTTTGACGTTATTAAATCGATAGATAAAGAAATAAGCTTTCAATTTACAGTTGCAATACACGAGTAACGACGGTGTTCCATTTGATCGAAAGTGCTTGACTGCATAGCCTTAGTACGCGAACAAGGGGTAAGCCTAGAACATTCGTTTACGTTTAGCAATAGTAACAGAATCCAAGTAACTCGAAGAAGATTATCGAGATGACTGGCAGGCAATCGTACAGCATTGTGGAGTATTACGCGGAACATGAGGGCTATCAATGCGGCTACTGCAAAAAACCTGATACGAACTTCAGTCATGGTAAGCGTAAAAGCCCTTTTGCTTCGTAGAGCCTCTGATGTCTTCTCACGTCTTGTTTTGACAAACAAGCTACGTTCTGTCTTCGAAAATCTTAAAAAAGCAAATTAAAACACTAGAATAAGTTTGAGTTTTATTTTGATAAGTCATCGCTTATTGCACAGGTATGTGGGCGCACTCATTAACAGTACATGATTACCAAAGTTTAATAGATAGAGGATGGAGGCGGAGCGGTTGTTATTGTTATAAACCTATGATGAACCAAACCTGCTGTCCACAATATACCATTAAGTGAGTAATATTTCTTAATCCTAAGTTTTGAGACAGAAAGAGAGAGACGATTTTACTTACCTATAAATAATAGCGAATTTAGTCATTTCCATTAAACTAGATTTGTTGCATACTAAAAGCTGCTATACATGAAATTAGCGCAATTAAATGTTAAAAGCATATAAATACTTTAAACAAATACTTAACGATATTGTATATTATTTAACAAAATATATACATATTATTTTATTATCAAAGTTGATTATATTAATTCATTGTATTTAAGTACTTTAGCTGTGCTCCAAAATTCACTGCCAATGCTGAAAATCTATAGCACACATAATGTATAAACTATATGTTTTTTATATAATAGTATAATGGCTCAATAATTTAAAAAACAAGTTCAAACAAAAAAGATTATGAACGAGAAATTTTATCTATAAAATTAGTAGATAAGTAAAAAAAATGTCTTAATAAATTAATTATGAAATTTAATAACATGCTGGCTAACAAACGCTTCGATCATGATCGGATCATCATCAATGTTTACAAAATATGTCTAAATAGTAAAAAACATAACATAAAGTCGATCGAAAATTGAAAATATACTTCGCATTGAAACTATATAATTGTTGGTATCAATAAATTAAGAAGGATCTTTGTTTTGTTAGTTTAAACTAAACAGTAACATACATAAAATACATACATTAGAATTTATCAGAAAAGTAAAAACTTGTACTATGGACGGTCGATGGCAAATGAAAATATTTCGCAATGTCAAGGCATCAAACTGTTGGTAGATATCAATAATTAAAGAATTTTCGTCTTGTTAGTAAAATTGTACAGCAAAAGAACATTAGTGTATGATTATATATTGATGTTCAGAACGAAATATAACGCATTACAGCTATAAATATAATAATGTAAAATTATAAGAATGACAGAAAAATATTAGGTGTTGGAATTAATTCGTAGCGTTTTTAATGAAAGAATGTTATTTATTTCACATGAGCATTAAAAAATACATTAATGAAAGTACTTCCCATCACTTGTAAAACGCTACGAATTAATTCCAACACCTAATATAATCTGATGAGACAATACAATATTGATATAAATGAAAGTTAAAAATGTACAATGTAAATCTATCAATTAAAATAATTAAATATCTGTTAAAATTAGATAAGAAAAATATCTTTCATAATTGTAGTTGAGAGTTCAATTCAAAAAAATTAAATAATATGAATAAAGTACAATAAACAATGCGATGAGAGAAAGATCAATGTCTCTTCGACGTTATTAGACCAAATAAATTTAAAATGACTCGGAGAAGGAAAGTAAAGTTGAAGTAAGTTAGAAAATAATGGGAAAGTGAGATTAAAGAGAGAGAATATAGAGGTAGAAAGAATATAGGAGGAGGGATGTATAGAGAGAAAAGAAAGATAATTATGAGGGAGAAAGGGATTGTATGATTTGTGAGTAGGATTCTGGCAATGATTCAGTATCATTTTGTTTGTTTAACCTTGTCTCTGTCTTTTAATGTAAATTTTAGATTAGAAAATGACCAAATTTTACGATAATTTACTCAGTCATTTATGATAAATTAGTCAATAAATTATGGAGGTTGGTAAAATGGTAATTTAAAAAAATTATAAAGATAAAATAATTTGATTTAAGAGTATTTAGTTGTTAAATTAAAAAGTTGAAAAACACTTTATTTAATTTAAATTTTCATTTCGATATTACATAATTACTTATTGATAGAATAATTAAGAAATTATATAAGTACGTAGAGTAACTAGAGAAACTGTAAATAAATTTTTTATTACAATTTTTAAAACAAAAAATGTGACAGGTACAGTAGTCCTTAAAAGTTAACTATATTTTTCTAAATACATACCTTCTAAACTTATAGCCTACATAGTAAGTAGAAAAACTTTAAATTTTTTCATTTTGAAAATAAAAAGTGTGATAGGTATACATAATCTTATATTTTTCATACCTTATAAACTTATTATAATACTTTTATTTGCTTGCTATTTTACTTTTTAGCGACTGTCATATTTTTACTAGAGTAAAAACAAAAATAATATAAATGGTGAAAGCTAATTTATAATGAAACCTGTTAGAGGTAGGTAGAAAACTTTCTGAGATGAAATGTACATGGAATTGTAAAATATTTTTCTTTAATTTGTAAATTATGTGTAGTATTTTTGTTCAATGTATGAAATTTTAATCTTTTTTCTATTGTGAAAAAAATAAAAGAGAGAGGATAACCATTTTCAAGAAAAGAATTGCATCGATCAAATATTTTTGTTGAAAGCGAGGGTGTAACAGATAGAATATTTTGTCTAAAAAACTAATAATTGTGCCTCTTTTGTGACAGAGAGAATGATTCAAATGAAAATTGAGGAACCTGCCAGAAAATGTTGCTTTGTGATATATGTATAATATATCAAAAATGATTTCCTGATTGTCAATGATAATTGTTGTATCAAGAAAACATATTCTGTCATTAACAGCAACCTCCATAAAAAATCTTGTGTGTCAAAGAATTGAAAATGCTCAGTGTACTATTGATCGTATCCGATGGAAGTGCAAGAACGATGTCATCAACATATCGGAAATAAAACAGTGGCGGTATTTGTAATTTTATGATCGCCACTTCTTTCAGATCTTGCATTACAATGTCTGCAATTATGGGCGATAATTATGGGCAATTATGGGTAAACCCATTGGAGTGCCAAATACTTGTTTATAATTTTTCTGATTGAACGAAAAAAAAGGTTGAATTTAGTATAAAATTTACTGCAATAATAAATTCTTCTTTAGAAATGTTTGTCCTCATAGAAATATGGTCCCATCTTTTACTAATGCTATTGATTGCTAAATCAATAGGTATATTTTTAAAGAGAGACACAACATCAAAAGAAGCCAAAACATAATTAGATTCTAATTGTCATTTAATATGTTAAACAAATGAAAGTTATCTTTAATACGGCTTAAAGTATTTGATATGCTATTTTTGATAATGTTATGTACATAATTAAAATGAGAGATAGTAAAGTGGACTGTTTAACGAAGATATATAATCACTTTCAATGGTTACCAGCTTTATGAATTTTTATTAATCCATAAGCTCTAGGAATATTGCCATTCGTTGTAAGCAGTCTTCGATATGTGGAATCTTCAATAAATTCCTTGCACTTCCATCTCGTGAGTAATACACGCAGATCTTGAGTCAATTTTTTTATCCGATCTTTTTAAATTCTTTGTATCTAAGTATCTAAATATCTACATCGGAAAGAATCTTCTCCATTTTCGATATATAGATGTTCTTGTCGAAAGCAACAATAACATTACCCTTGTCAGTATTTGTAATGAGGATATCAGGATGATCATTAATGAATTTTTTTGTCAGATATAACCATTTAGAAATTTTTTTCTCTATAGAATTTGGAGAGGGAAAATTGTTGTAGAATTTTTTAAAAATTGGAATAGCATTATTTCTAATAAAATTAACAATATTCTTTGGCCGACCAGTTATGTTATTTTCTATATATTTGATGAATTCGACCAGAATTTTTTCTTTATTATCTTTGTTAACTGAAAGTCCAAATTTTTTTTTCACCCAATTGTAAGAGGAATTGTACTTTCAAAGGAATGTCTATATATTTTTTTAGTGATGGCTGTAAATTTTGGAATGCAGTTCATATAAAGCAGTCTTTAATTACACTAGGAAATTTAGTGTAGTATAAGTGATTAAATTTATCATAATATTTCTAAATTTGAAGGAGATATGATTTTGCTTAATTATGAAACAGAAGTTTGGCGCGGTTTAAACATATGGCTAATGATTTTTAGATGCGAAGCTCTAGATTTTAGAATATCAAAGTCTCAGAAAAAAATCCTAAAGCGGATGACTAAATTTTTGAAGAATGAATTAACGAAGGATAATGTTGGAGGAGGTACGGCCGAAGATAATATAGGTAAAATTTTTAGAATTTGATCTGTGTATAATAATGATTGTATTCAATAGAAAAAACAATTTTATAATATATTTATTGTAAGATTTTTAATTTTTTGTGGTCATATATACTTCTTAAAAGTTCTATAATGGTCACACTGGGATCAAAATGACTTAACAGCGCATTTAACCGATTACCGTATTCATTTTTTTTCTATGAAGTAAACAAAATTACTGATTAAATGCACTCTGGGATTATTTTAATCCCAGTGTGATTATAAAGGGATTACAAGGGTTAAATATAATTGGTTCATACATTTACAAATGAAGAATTAAGGGCAAAAACCAGTTATTAAGGAATTTTATAATAATTGCTTTTTCTGCTGAACATGAGCCAGTGACATTCGCGGTTAGCTCACTAACTTTATAATATTTATAGACATAAGCAACGAAGAAGCATTAAATTATTCTAAGCATCTGAAGAGAGCGCAGAAAAACGAATCTCAGATTAATGTTTCGTCTGTTGATGATGAAGTCGATGAAAGATTGTCTATCAATCTAATGAAAACAAAAACTCAAGAGAATTCTATCAATCAATTTGTATCAAATAGCAGTCAAGCACAGCTAACAAATGCCAATAGCAAAAATAACCTGCACGTTAGAAATGAAATCGTCGATATAGTACCTTGCAAAAAGGCGAAGCTCTTACGCATAGAGCGTAAAAAAAATAAATTGCTGGCTCAAGGTAAATCTCAGAGCGAAATTGAAAGTATCATGAGAGAAAGGAAGCAACAGAATTTCATTAAAACTGTGGAGGAATTATTCGAGGAAGTGTACACTGGATTGAAAAAGTTGGAGGTAAAATGTCATTGATTAAACTCTAAAATCGTTATTACTTATTTTGTCAGATATTTTCTAATTCTTTATTACTTGTGGAATACTATTCTTTCTTATTTATTACATGCGTCTCGGTATGGTCCTCTTTTCTCCAATTTTTATGAAAGAAAAGTAATAAAACAAATAAAAAGTTTGATTATAGCAAAATATTTGTTAAATAATGCTGTTTTATATATAATGCTGCCTCTATGTCGAACGCTCAACATACGTTTAATTACATTGTGAAATTAATCTATATTATTTTTTCATCACTCGTTTGTCCGATCTGTTTATAAACCAATTGCAACTAGTTCACATGTATTTTATAGAGATAATTATTCGCTTCCTTGTTCAGATAGAGTTTTATGTTAAGTTATTTACACTTTAAGTTGAGACTGGTTCGGACTGCACCGATGAGTTCCGAATATCGAAAGACTTCGAAAGAATCTTATGAGCTTTATAAAAAGTATCAGAATACAATACACGGAGTACCGCCTGAGAAGCTCACAGAGCAACGTTACACGAGATTTCTCGTGAAGTCGCCTCTGCAGGTAATTTGTAGATTTAAATTATCTGACAGTCATTCGTTGTGCGATAAATTACACAGAAAGTTATAAGAGGAAATAAAAAAAGTTAAATGAATTTATTTATTCTTCATGTACAATACAGCTAAATATACACATTATTTCTTAATATAATCGCTTAACTTTGCAACACATTTTGTACGGTTCACAATTCTTCTAATTCCATTTGTAAAAAAGATTTTTAGTTATCCTCAAAGCTGAAAGCAACCAAAGGCAATTGAATTTTGTCACTGACATACTACCGGCCATACAGGGTTTCCTTTAATAATCCAAACAAATAAGCACTGGAAGGTCAGGACTAAGATATGGGAGAAGCTCAAGTTTCAGTTGTCTTGGAGTTTAGGAAATGTGTGTACATATGGCTTTGAGACAAAAATTTTCTTTAGATAGAATCAGAAAATTATGAGCCGTTATATATAAAATATGTCGCAACTGAGTAACTATTTTGAGAAACATATAATATATATATTTTGTTAACGTGTAATGTACGTGAGGAATAAATAAATTCAATTTACTTTCTGATTTCCTCTCGTAATAATAGATAGAAGCTTTGCGTTTTTGCGCGCACGATTCAATTTTTATTTTCTACTGTCATCATGTTTGATTGAATTTTATTTACATAATCATCAATGTTGCGATATGTTGATAGGACGTCACTAACGTTTTCACGATAGTCAAATAAATGCTATATGGAGACAGCTGTATTATCATGATTGGAGCAAAGTGGACCTCGCCTCTTAATTAAATAATTAATTAAATAGGAAACTTATGATTGCATTATTACTATCATTGCTTGATGATAATTAATTCTTATATCAGATATTATCTTATTTATCGGCTAAACATGAAAAATTTTACGTTTTGTAAATTTGTTAGATGAAATTGGTGAGAGTAATGTCGGACGAATTCCTGAACACTCTCGAAACGAGCGCGAATCTTTATAAAAAATATCAAATGACGATTCATGGCGATACACCAGAACAATGCGATCAAAAGGCATTCTACAACTTCCTTGTGAAGAGTCCCTTGCAGGTACACTTTGTATCTAATCTCTTTGTGTTTACGAACGATATAGAAAATAACTTTTCTTTTCATTGGAGTGAACAGAAATATTCGTTTATGCATAGTACTGTCACACAAATACTATCTTGTGCTTTATGAAAGTGTAGTCTTTAAGTGTAGTCATAGTCTGCTGGCTATGAAAATAAAAAAGTGATAAAATGAAATATTCCATCAGTATAAAGGATATAATTATTGAAAAAATTATTCAAAAATATTTCAGAATTCTATCTTTTACACAAGAAATATAATTTATCTAAAAAATGGAAATGTAATAATAATCACTTTATACTTCTAATGTGTACTGGGATTATTGGGTCATTCAGAATTTTAACACTATAAGTATCGAATGGTTATTATTGACCGTTTCTATTTTTTAGATTAATATTATATTGCGTAAAAAAGGATTGTGAAAATGTTTTTATTTTTATAATTATGCTTTTTATATTGATAAAATATTTGATTTTATCACTTTCTTTATTTTCACAGTAATTTGTTCGGTCGATTTTTTTTAGTGAATAAAAATCATTGAGTATTAATTTTAGTATTAATCGCTATTCTAAAATAATAATTAAAGGCTTATTCTTTTTAGCTAAACTTTTTGGTTTAGCTTTCCTCTTTTTCCTGTCATATTGAAGAGGAAAAGAGAAAAGACTCTGTGCAAGCAGTTTAGTTAAAAAAAAACAGATAATAATAAAGACATAATAATAAAGCAAAATAGCATTTAAAAAAATTTAATATTTTAATTCAATTGCTTTTTAAAGCAATGGATACCCGATAGTGGACCACCTCACGGATACGGCTCTTTTCACGAACAATATTGGCTGGATAACAAATTGATAGCAGTAGGAGTAATAGACATTCTGCCGTCGTGCATCTCAAGCGTATACTTTTTTTATGATCCTACATACAGTCAATTGTCTCTCGGAACTTTTAGGTTTGTCTTTTTAAAAATTCACTTTTTTACAAACATTTAATTGTGATATACGTGATTAAAATTCATGGATCAGCCACACAATTCTGAATTGTTTCTAGTTCTCTTCGAGAGGTTCATCTAACGAGACAACTCAATAAGATTGCAAACAATCTGAAATACTATTACATGGGCTATTATATTCATACGTGTCAGAAGATGCGATATAAAGCCAGAATGCAGCCATCGAAACTTCTATGCCCTGAGACATACGTGTGGTGCGACATCGAACCTTGCCTAGCCAAATTAGACAACGAAAAGTACAGTCGTTTGAATGATGAGATCAACGCCATCGATGAAAATGGTGTAGTCAACGTTGAAGAGGTATACTTTTTAAGATAATTTTACAAGTAATTGTTACATCTTTATTGCAAAAGATTATTACGTTTTCATAGTTTTCGACATTTAGTATATCAGAATGTTTACTATCTAGGAAAACCTGAAAAATGTGGAATTTCTAGGGGATTTATTTTTTATCGTTGAAAATCAGGGATTTCTTTTTCACGAAATTTTGTTGCAAGCTTATATACAAATCTATTGCAATAATTATTCAATTTTGTCACACATACGCTCCAATAAACTTATATGTATGGCTTGTGTATGTCATACTTGACAAGTTTTCTTGAATGTGTGTGACCAGCTCAAACCGAACGCAAGCAAAATATTGATAATTAGTTAGCAACAAGTATAGCATACACATCCGCGTATATTCACGTATGTTTTTTGTGTGTCTCGCAAATTTTTATTTAAAAAGTTGTAATGAGACAGCAGAAGACAATACTCGGCAGAATAGAGTAAATAATTGCGTTTAGCAGAAAAAAGTGCTTTGCAACTGTTGTAAAATTCAATATGATTTCTTCAATATGATTAGTTTAATTAGATCCATAAGAAATCAAATGCAAGAACTAAAAATTGTAGTTGCAAAATTGCTTTCTCTATCGAATGCAACCATTAATACTTTATTATAATGAACCTTCCCTATACTATCCTCTAAGTTTCGCAGCTCCATTTGTAGATGATAGATAGTATTGTGGAATCTTTGTTTTCTACTAATTTTCAATATAATTTATTTATGTTGTTTATATTTTATTTCAAAAAAATTATTTAATATTTAATTTTACTTGGAATTTTAAACAAAAATAATTAAAAAATCCGGAAATTCTCAGAGAATTCTTTCCAAGATTTGAATAAACATCTTATATATTTTAGTAAAATTTAAACTGTAATTAAGTTTCTAATAAAATTTAAATTGTAATTAAGTTTCATTACAGCGTTAAATTTTTTGTTATTATATTGAAACATTTTCTTTTTAGGTATTGATATTGTACAAGAATATTGCGATGCCGTATAAAAAATATAAAACATTGCGGAAAACGCATGAAGAAAAACGTGAGGTGGAGGAATATGCCAAATTCGTTGGGATGCCATGTGCACGAAGAATGCTGTTCTTTCGTTATTCTAGAGAGTGATTATTTAAAACGAATAGTATTATATCTCAAGGAAGGACTTATTATATTGAAGGACGGTATTACATCGTGGAATGACTTTGGTGGCTACTTCAGAAGTTAACTGTTGGCCGATATTCATGTACAAAGAAATGATCGAATTCGTTATTCTTAGAAGATTATTGATTGTGTTGTGGCGTAACGATCTGTGATGCAAGCGCTTGAATACTATAATCAGATAATGTAAAAAGCGCAGAATAAATGTGCATTACTTCTTCACCGTCCAGCGATTTTGTTAAAAACCGTTTAGAAAAATTATTTTAATTTCGTAATAATCATTATCTTAAAGCGTAATTAATCTATTTTTTTTCACAAATCCTTATTTTTCTCTTTTTTTTCCTTGAATTTATAGTATTTAATAATGGATCATTGAATTACGTAAAAATGCAAAAAGTTAAATAAATATTTATTTATTATACGTTTTTGTTATTTTAATATTTAAAATATTTTTCTATATTATTTTCTATATATTATTTAAAATATCTTGATTCGGTGATTCCGGAACACACAATATTTGCGCATCAGTTGATTGCAAAGTAAATGAAATAAAAAGAGAATAACAATTCTTTATTTAATTATGTAGTGGTGATAATATAAATATGTCAATAAATTCAATGAAGCGATATTGTCAAATGCGAAAGAAGATAAATGACAAAGTTGTTCAAAGAAGTGATATGCAATATGAATTATAATATCATATGCATTTCTTTAAGTAGTAAACTTTATCAGACATTTCTTAATTACATATTTTTATTTCAGGTATTTTTTTAAACAGTGTTTGAAAAGTCTTTTATAATAGTTTCGATTCCTGAAATAATCTTCAGTTCAATTCTTTTAAATCTTCCTTAAGAATTTTTTAATTTTTCAGTCTTTTTGAATGTTTCCTGTACTGTATTTAGGAACATGCTTGTCAATAATTAAACTTTTCTATCATTCACGTGTCATTGTTAAATAAAAATTTGAAAGAATCATCGATTAAACGTGCCCTATATTGGCCTTATATAGGCTCCATTTTATGATCAGTCTCTACGTCATCTGGATTATCAAGCGGTCGAAGTTCGTTCCATTTCTGTATATTACCGCTACCTCCGAACAGGAACACGATCATACTTCCAATACTCACCGCGGCACCGATCCAGAAAAGTGTCTGCCATCTGTCGATCGGATTCTAGTACAAAGAAAAAGTTGGATTTATATTAAAATTTTCATATCAAGGATTGCAAATGCAAGAAATAAGCAACATTGGCTGCGTTCAGAAAAAACTAATCAGTTAGCACTTAGTGATTCTTCAATATTATATTCTTCAATAATTTGCATTTAGATTCACTGAAGAACTAAAGGCAAGAGTAATTAGGCTAACTGATTAGTTTTCTCTGCTGAACGCAGCCATTTAATTGGAAGAGGACGAATGGATTGAAAAAAATTTGTATACGAAAAATTAAAGAAGGAACAATTCTTTTGTCGTAATAATTGGGAACTTTCCGCGTAAGCGTGGTTTCCGCTTGCGTAACGTTGCGTGCATCCGCTGTTCGTCTTCCTCTTTAATTCAAAGATTCGTCCTGTCAAGGATCGCGCTCAAACCGTATAACCAAGATTACTGTTGTTAAAGAGACATTAACGGATATTTCAGGTGTAGATAAGAGAGCCACTTGCGCTTGGTCGTTTATATCATGTTGCCATTATATAATGTTACACAAACAAGAAATGATAACTCATGATATACTGAAGATCTTGACAATCACGATAATCACGCGATTATGCGAATTATATAGTTACAATATAAATGAGCAATTTACATAAATAGAAACCCAGTAAACATTTTTCATGCATGAATATGTATAAATATGTATAAAAATACATAAATATTCATAAACATGTAATATTATATATGAAATATGTTCATACATTACATCCTTTTTTCTTTTGTAAAATTACTTTTTAGTAATAGAAATAATGTGAAAACATAAAAAATAGTTAAAGGGATAATTTTTGCATTGTTTGTTTAAAAAAAAAACAAGTTTGGAAAAAAAATTGCTCATACATAATTATGCATAATTTTATATATAATTATACATAAGTAATTTTTTATATTTCTTCAAACTTGATTTTTTCTAAAACAAATAGTGCAAAAATTATCTTTTTAATTATTTTTCACATTACTATTATTATTTTTATTGCACTAAAAAGTAATTTTACAAAAGAAAAAAAGGATGTATGAACATATTTCATATATAATTATACATGTTTATGAATATTATTATGCGTGTTTATATGTTTATACATATTGATATTGTATATTCATGCATGAAAAATTTTTTACCAGATATAATAATAGAATAAATCCAATGAATGACAATATCATAAATGATTATTAAGACAATAGAGTTATGAAGGAAAATATTTGAGGTGATAATTTGAAAAATAACTGAATCAGATCAATGGATTATGATAATAATTTCTCGTAAAAAAAAGAGAGAAATTAGTTATACTTTTTTCATTAAAATAATTGATTTGTAGCAGACTTACTCCAAATTTGCCGGCTATCTCTTCAACTATTGGTGGAATAATCATGCCGGAAGTGCTACCAACTGTATTCATGATACCGTAAAGGAAACCAGCAAAATTTGGCGCGAGATCCTGATTGTTCGACAGAGTAGTGATAAGGGCAGCACCGTTGAAACCCAGTGCAAGGAATAGAAAAATGTTTGCTAGTACAAAATTGCATCCGACATAGCCGACCAATATTAGAAAAATGCCCGGTATAAAATGTGCTGAAAGAATGAAATTCTGATTATTGAAACGTTAACTCAAATTTCCAATATGCTCTACAGATAAAAGAGTTTGGCCATAAGAAATTTTGTGTTTGTCAAATCATATTGGGTCATCTAAAAAGTATCCGCGGTTTTTTGTCACTAGATG